TTTCACTGCACCAGAAAGAAGCCCCAGCCCTTGTCCTGCCTCTGGCAGCCACTGACCCACTGTCTCTCTCTGTGGATTTGCTCACTCTGGGCGTCTTAGGTAATTTGAGTTATGAATTATGTGGCCTTTTGTGACTGGCCTCTTTCACAGCATAATACTTCCAAGGTTCATGAATCAGTACTTTATTCCTTTTACGGCAAACTAGTGGCCTGGTGCACGGATTCGTGCACATTGAAAGGAAATTAATTAGAAGGTGGCCGGCGGGGCAGGACTGGGCGAGATGGACGGGACACACCCTGGAGCCAACCTCCCATGGTGCCTCCCTGGCTGGCTGCATCTGGGGTGGTTCCGTGGCTTGAAGGGCATCTGTGGAGTGAGTGGGGTCCCTCCAGCAGGTGGGGTCCCTCGGACTGGCCTGAGGGGATTGGGCTGAAACCAGCTCTCTGACATCCCCCGAGGGGTCCCAGATTGTGAGAGGGTGGTTCTCAGGTGGCACACTCGGAATTGGGCTCCCTCCTCTCTGGTTCCGGAGTGCATCACCCGAGAACTGCCACTGCCAAGTCATCGCAGCTCAGCAGCTCCTGCATTGAGTATCCCTGGTGGTCAGTGCACATCATAGCTACCAGTCGGATGATCGGACGGTCTCTTAGCCATATATATATCTATATCTATCTATCTATCTATCTATCTATCTATCTATCTATATAGATAGATAGATAGATATAGATATATATTCCATTTTATGGGTAGGCAAGATTTTGTTTATCCATTCATCAGTTGGTTTATTTTTTTCATTTGAGTATTTTGAGTAAGGCTAGTATAAATATTCATGTACAAGTTTTTGGTTGCTTTTGTTTCATGTGTGTGTGGATATATGTTTTCAATTCTTTGGGTTTATACCTAGAAGTAGTATTGCTGGCTTAAATGAAAACTCTATATTTAACTTTTTGAATTAAACTCAAATTGCCAAAACAATTTGAAAAGGTGTTAAACTCTTTTCCAAAGTGGCTGCACCATTTTACATTCTCACCAATGAGGGAACAGTTCTACTACATCTTCATTAACACTTGTTATTATTATTATTATTACTAGAGGCCCAGTGCATGAAGTCATACACCAGTAGGGTCCCTTGTCCTGGCCTGCGGGATCGGGCCGAAACCGGCTCTCCAACATCCCCCAAGGGGTCCCAGATTGTGAGAGGGCGCAGGCCAGGCTGAGAGACCCCACTGGTGCATGATCAGGGCTGGGGAGGGATGCAGGGGGTTGGCCAGCTGGGGAGCGACTGAGAGAGGGCTCCAGGGCATGTCCACTCAGTCCCGATCGGCTGCACCCCAGCAGCAAGGTAACCTACTGGTTGGAGCATCTGCCTCCTGGTGGTTAGTGCACATCATAGTGAGCAGTTGAGCAGCCTTAGCATATTATTAGCATATTACGCTTTGCTTGGTTGAATGGCCAACAAGACGATCAGACGACTGGACACTTAGCACATTAGGCTTTTATTATATAGAATAGCCATTCTAATGTGTGAAGTGATATCTCGTTGTGTGTGCAAGTGTGTATGAGTATGTGTGTGCTGGGGAGAGGGTGCCCTGAGTTCCAAAATAAGCTGTTCAAAGCCACTGAAAAATGGTGGCTGTGAGTGAGAAAAGGTTATTTGATGTCCCCAGGTGACGTCCTCCCAGGCCAAGAGTGGAGAGCACAGGTGACATCAAAGCATTTGTCCACACAGACACTTTAGGGCGGGCGGAGGAGAGGAGTCTGAGGGCTGATGGAGGATGTGGCTGGTGTGGCTGCCGTGGCTGGGGCTCAGGAGCAGAGAGAACTGGTGTCATCTCAGAATCCAGGAGGCAAGTCCATGGCAGCTGCAGTGACAGCAAGCAGAGCGGCCTGCTCAGGACTGGGTCTGGGGGATGAGAAGAGAGCCAAAGGTTTCCCAGGCTGGCTCACACCTCCCTCTGGAGACCATGACATTGAAAGACATCCATCCTGAGGAGGCCCATGGTCTGAGCAGATAGGGAACTGAGAACATAGAAAGGCAGTGACAGAGGCCCAAAGGTTTCAGCAATGGCTGCAGAGGGACAGGGGCTGCCTCTCAGCACAGGGTAAGTCCTTCCCTCCCAGAGCTGGAGCTGAAATAGGAACCTGCCCAGAGGCTGACAGTAGCTCCATGGAGAAGAGAGACGGAAGGATCTGGCACTGACCTCCATATTTACTCAGAAGGGACTGGGAGTCTTGAGAGTAGGAAATGCATGCCTGTGGCACACAAAATATGATCATTATGCTGAGAAATGGAGCTGAAACCTTTGTAAAATACCAGGATTCTTGAAGGCTCCACCATCAGTAAGTGAGCCAGCTATACAAGCTCTGCTGCCAAAGGAATGCATGAGTCAGCTTTAGTTAGGTTAACAAGTTCCTTCTTCTCCCCATTTTAAGGTGAAATAAATAAACAAACAAAAAAATAAATCCAAAAGATGTAAAACAAGAGGGATTAAAAAGAAGCATGGACATAGAAAACAAATGGGAAGTATAAAATAAAATGTTAAAAATAAGTTCAGATGGATCAATAATAACAATAAATATAAATGTACCAAACTCTCCAGTTAAAAAAATTAGAGATGGTCAAACAGCTATGTGCTGTTTCCAAGAGCTACTTCTCAATCACAGGACATAGGAAGTTTACAAATTATCTAGCAGGCCAACAAAAAGCAAAGAATGTTGACATATCAATGGTAATACCAGGCAAATTATACCTTCAGGGAAAAAAGCATTATGAGACCCAATGTATAACCTTAAAATAAATAAAAAACAGTTTATTATTTAAAAACATATGCATATGCCACAAATGTATAAATAAATTACTAATGGACAACACAGGTTACCTGGAGATGGTGAGGGTAGGGGTGGAGGTTGTGACTGGGGAAGTACATAAAAGTAGTTGCAATTCTATTGACAATTTTTTGTTATTCTAAGCTGGGTGGTGGCTACATGGGTATTGGATATAATTTCTTCATATATGTCCCATGTTGAAAAGCGTTTATAACAATAAAAAAAACCACTCTCAGAATTCTATTATTACAAATAACTTTCTGAGCAATGAGCTGTCTACCACAGAACACCATGGAAGTGTAGGTCAGAGAGCCCCTTGGGAGAAACAGTAACTCTGATGGGCAAGGCGATTTAATGAGATTTGGCGGCATCCTCTTAGGGAAGATAACAATGTTCTTGTTTTAGCAAGATACTTGGATAAGCAAGTTACTTATACTCAATTTTGTCCTCAGGGAAATGTGTGTGGATAAAACAATTCCCTTGCCAGAAACTCCCTTATCTTGTTAGGTTGTAAGTTCCTTGCAAGAGAATCATTAGTATTAAATTGTCAAATGATGGTCATTGGTGCTAGTTCAACACCAAAAGGAATCCCCAATTAGGGGTGTGGTGAAGAAGTAAACTTTATTCAGTGCAATCAGCTCAATTGTGAAACAGTAGGCTAAGAGGCAGCCCTGGGATAAGGCTCCTCTCCAGCTATGCTCTGCTCTGGTCCATTGAGACATCTTTGGTGTTTCAGCTTCATCAGGGAAACACAGTCTTCAGTCTCAGCTGGAAAGGGAGTATGCACTCTTTGAGCCAGAAGGGAAGGTGACTTATATAGAGAGAAAGCCCCACTCCTGGTCCCTGATTGGCCCATCATCATGCAAATTAGGACTCCAAATCCTTGCAGTTTGATTGGTCAGAATGAAGACACTCTGATTGGTTGGTAAAAATGCGGATGGAGGATATAGCTGCATAACTCCAATTGGACAGGGAAAGCCTCAGTCCTATTGGTTGAAATAGGATTCCAGGAACCCCTTTATAAGGGCTGGCTCAGATGGTAAAAACAGAGCAGGTGGGCAGTTCAGTGCAGTTTGCAGGAGAGGCCCCTGTGTAGAAATGGCTGTGGCCCTTCTTGGTAGGTAGCTTCTTTCTCAGGTTCCACAAAATGAAACAATGACTGAAAGTAAAGTACTTAGTACATAGTAGGTGTTCAACAAACTGCATTAAAATCTTTGTGGAAATGAGGCAGAATAGAACCAGTGAGATAAAAAGAAAGAGAAATGAGATATTACTTCCCAAACTCCGGAAGCAAGGATGGCCCTGCCTCAAGGTTGTGCATGCTTCTATCACAGCACTCGCCCTGTTCCACACCTACATTTCTGTGTCCCGCTGGACTCACCTGTGCTTTCAAACACTGTGTCTGGTGCAGGGGCACTCACTCACCATTTGGAGAATGCAGGAAACATGCAGGTGTTTTGTAAAGTGACTGTAGGACAAATCATATAAACGCTTCAAATGAATGAACCCGTTTGGGCTCTCTAGTTGGGAACCAGACGATTACAGACAAGGATGACGTTTACTGACAGTACTATACTAAAGCAGCTCATTTTCTTGTTGTCATTACAACAGTGATATTAAACATGTTCTTTCACTTCACAAATATTTCATGTTGGTGCTTCTGTCTCTGTCACTCAGATGAGCAATGTAAGGCAAAACTGATCTAAATGTGGATGATGGGAACATATACCTTCCCCCTTCATCTCACTTATGCATGTTTACAATGAAAACTCAAACAGGCTATTCTTCCCCCCCCCCCCCCTCCGACCCCTTCTTTCCCTCCTAGCGGTGGGCAGGGTGAGGGTGGGGATTAGGGATTTCACAGTGCCAATCACTGACTTCCTGAGGTTTATTAAAGGGCAGGGAGCGCTCTCACTGGGAGAAAGATGAAGGGTGCTGATGGGTGAGGAGGCTTGCTCACCCCTTGGCCTCCCGCCCCGCGCTCTGAGCAGCTCAGCTGCCCTCGCCACTGGGCCTGTGCCGCAAGCGGAGCCACCCTTTTGCTGGACTAAGGCTGGTTCGCACCTTGCAGAGGGCTTCTGATTCCAGTGAGGAGGTGGGCGGGGACCCACCCTTTAGGATTGGTCTAGTCTCTGGGCGGTGACTTCCGGGGGCAGGGAGGCTCCCAGGGGGCGCGGATTTCTCCTGGCAGTGTCCGCACTACCTCTCATTTGCAACAGAGAGACCGGAGCTCGCTACTGCCAACTGCCTGGAAAGCGCAGAAAGAGCGCTGGCTCTGTTGGCGACTTGGGACCCTGGCAACAGCTGGGAGTGGAATCGGTTGGGAGTCGTGGGGAGCCCTCTCCAGGAACCGCGAGGAGTCCTGTGCGCACACAGCACAGCCCCTGGTGCGCTGGGGAAGAGAGCGGCTCAGAGCAACAGGTGTGGCGGGAAGCCACCCCCGGAGCGAGGGAATCGGTCGCAGGGATCCGGAGCAGGTAAAGCGCGGAGAGGGCTCTCTCCACCTCCTGGGCTGCACCGCGGGTCCTCCCTCCCCTGCTCAGAGTCCGTGCAGCGGGCTGAGGCTTCCGGGGAGGGGTTCCCTGAGCTCTCGGGACCGCCGCCTATGCCCGGGAAGGTCCAGCACTCAGACAGACCCGCCCAAAGACAGCGCCGCCAGGCACAGCCGCCCCGGCGCGTGGCCGCCAGGGTTGCCCAGGCTGGGAAACGGGCACTCTGAGCTCGGGGCTGGGTCCCAGGAGGGAGCCCCCTCTGCACCTCTGTCTCTGGCAGGCAGCCCTCACCAGCGCGCCCGGGCGCCCCCGCAGGTCATGGAGTTGGTGGCCGGGAACCTCAGCGAGGGGAACGCGAGCGGCCCCCCGCCCCCTGCCCCGGACCCGCCGCCGCTCTTCGGCGTTGGCGTGGAGAACTTCATCACGCTGGTGGTGTTCGGCCTGATCTTCACGCTGGGCGTGCTGGGCAACAGCCTGGTGATCACAGTGATGGCGCGCAGCAAGCCCGGCAAGCCGCGCAGCACCACCAACCTGTTCATTCTCAACCTGAGCATCGCCGACCTGGCCTACCTGCTCTTCTGCATCCCCTTCCAGGCCACGGTCTACGCGCTGCCCACCTGGGTGCTGGGCGCCTTCATCTGCAAGTTCACCCACTACTTCTTCACTGTCTCCATGCTGGTCAGCATCTTCACTCTGGTGGCGATGTCGGTGGACCGGTATGTGGCCATTGTGCACTCCAGGCGCTCCTCCTCCCTGAGGGTGTCCCGCAATGCGCTGCTGGGCATGGGCTTCATCTGGGCGCTGTCCATTGCCATGGCCTCGCCGGTGGCCTACCACCAGGGCCTCTTCCACCGGGAGTCTGACAACGGCAACCTGACCTTCTGCTGGGATCAATGGCCCGACCAGCGCCATAAGAAGGCTTACGTGGTGTGCACCTTCGTCTTTGGCTACCTGCTGCCACTGCTGCTCATCTGCTTCTGCTATGCCAAGGTGGGCATGGGGGTGCGGTTAGAGGGTGGTGCAGCTGGCTGCAGGGTCAGGGGTGCGAGGGCCCTGGGGCTTCTTGCGTGTCCCTCGCCCCTTTCCAAGCCTCACAGCGGCCTCCACCATTTCGCCCTGGTCCCTGTCTCCACCACAGCTTTGCTGGTTTGATGTGGAGAAAGTTACCTGGAGTTTGGGGGACACTGGGAAAGTTTGCACTTCACTTCCCAGAGTCCCACTTACCCTCAGGGCGTGGCCTCCTGCAACCTCAGGCTGTCCTGGCAGCTGACAGGCAGGTTCAGCCCCAGTTTCTAGGTACAGGGATATCTGCTCAGATTTAGCTCCTCAAACCTGGACAGCCTGCCTGAGACTGCAGTCACAGGGGGCACTCGTCACTCTGAGGCTGTGGGCCTTTTGCCAGGGTGGCGGGGCCCACTGCCCAGCACTCAGTTGGGACATGAGGAGGTGACTCCCACCAGGGAGGCTGGACGGGACCTGGCTCTGTAAAGCCATTGCCCTGGGGACAGAACTTCACATTTTATTTCACACAGAAGTTTAGCCTTATAAACCCAGTGGGAAAGCAGTATTTCTTCACAGAGTCCTGACTGAGTCTCCAGAGATATCTTTGGTGCCATGAATAACCAGATGAGGTACAACAATAATTTTATTCAGTTCAGAAAGTATTATTCCCAGCAACAACATTTAATATAAGCCACCTGGATTTTGTTTTTTTCCCTCCCCCTACCATCCATGCAGAGTTATATCTGTTCTGAATGGGGATAGTTTTGGATATTATTTGAAAAAATGGCCTGCATGAAAGGATTAGGGAATTTAGGAAAGAACTCTAGCTTAGCTCTTTGGTAAATGGCTGGTTTACTCATGGGCTTCTGCTAATAGAGAGCAGAGCTCCCGCTGCACAGCACAGCAGCCTGACATGTGCCCTGGATCATTTAACCCCCAGGCTGGAGCTCTGGCCCCTGTTTTATTGATAAGGGAAAGGGGTTTTGGAGGAATGAAGCAACCGACTCAGATTAGGAAGCTGGCAAATGGTTCAGGAAGGATTTCAATGCAGGGATTCCCTGTCCTCTGAGGGAGGGGACAGTGGTGAGGACCTTGGAGACATGATGCCTGGGACAAGAGGGGTTCACACATGTGCCTCTTAATTCATAATTACATAGATTAGAACTGAAGCGTAATCTCTTCATTGACCAGAAGTTTTTAGGTCTTCTTAATGGAAATGACTAGGTAAACTTCTGGGAATAAATTAGGCTACATGTCTTTCATAGAGCAAAGTTTGAAAATGGTTTTTAAAAATTCAATAAACACATGGTCATAGGGATATTTTTAAATATGGGAATAGTTTGCTTTTAAGCACAAGTCCAAATCATCTTTTGAATTCAATGTAATTAAGCAAATTCACTTCATGCTCGAACAGATGGAGATAATATGTAATGTCAAGTTGTTTTTCTTTAGTTCAACCATCAAGTGTAAACTCTTCAGTTAAGGATTTTGCTATTTGAATGTTAAGTTCAGACATCCATTACTGGTGACATGCTCACCCTGCCAAGTGCCTCCACACCCCCAGATGTATCTGATGCCCATGATGAGCTTGGCTCGGGTTTGAGTATATGCTTCCTACACATACTTCTAAGTGCATAGAACAGTGCAGAGATGCCACCATGACATCATCATTACTCCTAAAGAAAGGTCTTAGCAACCCATCACGACACCTACATTCTTTCTCTTTTTATGGCAAACCTTCACTGTGATGCATCAGAATACATTAATATGTGCACATAGCATAGACCACTAAAGCAACACAGAGCTAGGAACAGTACAGTTGGGTTTTTTTCTCCATGAACTACTCAACAACACTCCTTAGGTGTTACTGAGATGTCATCCCACAGTTTGTTGAACAGACCCCCGAACAGCATTAGGAAGCAGATAACATTTGACATTTCTGTTTGGACTTCCTCTCCAGGTGTCCCTCTCTGATTTTGTTTTGCTGCCTCTTCTTTGTTCCTCTTCTTACCCCTTGTCCTCAGTGACCAGTGTCTTCCTGTGGCCTCCTGCTGGGGAGGCTGCTACCAAGGAACTTCTCCAGGCCAGTCCTCTCCAGGCAGCATCCTGCTTCCGGGTCTTACCTCCCCCCTTGACAGACTTTCTCATTTGCTTCTGCAAAATCTTGTTCCATCCAATTTTTGGTACCATGATTTCCACTGGCAGAACAGTAACCCAACCCATTGCAACGTAGTGAGGGTGATCCCAATGCTACTGTAGCAGGTGAAAGTCTTGTCTCATAGATGATGCTAAACCACTGTAGGACATGGGAAGTATTTTAGCAGAGCTGGGGATCTGGTGCCAGAAATTCACACCCCAGTGACAGCTTAACCAGTGCAGGGCCCCAAGTTTGGTTGATAAATCCTGTGCTTTTCTGTTAGGTGTGACTGATCACCTAGAAGTCTGCATCTAGTGCATGGGGTGGGCTTTGGCGATAAGTCCTATTTGATTAAATTATTTCTATGCTGCAGTGCCAGAGGGAAACGAAGATGCGGCTGGAATGTGGTCGAGTTCTTGGAGAGACTCACTCAGCAACTGATGGACAGTCTAAAGCCCTTAGTTAACCAGAGGCCAGTTTTCCTCAGATATCCGCTCAGATGGGATATGAAAGTAGTTCCCACACCTATCTTGCATGGGCCTGCTGGCAACTCCTGTACTATGTAAGGCAAATGTTCCAAATTGTTTCTCCTGTCTGCCACACTGGCACGAGAAGACAAAGACAGTTTCTCTGATGAAGGAAACCCATGTATCCCAAGGAGACTTCTGACAGGGAACTGATAGTGTATGGATTGTGAGTGAGGCTGAATTCTCCACGTGTGGGTTGTTCACAGCTCAGCACAGTGATTATGGTTTGAATAAAGAATGAAAGGAGGCCTGATGGGTAGGAATTTGCTTTAAGGATACTTGTAGCGAAGACAGGTGGCAAAGAGCAAAGAGCGACGGACCTCTAGCTTTTGTGCGTATCTAGGATTTAACATCGTGTCCGACGTGTATGGGAACCTGAGGATGGTGAGGATTAGAACCTTGGGGGAGATCCAGGTTGAAGGTGGACCAACAAGGGTAGGTAGTGGTGTGGCCCTTTTTGGACAAAACCCTAGAGCGACTTGCACAGGAATGCTCTGTATCAGGCACTCTGACCACGGTCTGCACCTGGATACGGATGCAGTAGGCAATTCACAATCATCATTACATTTTCACCTTATGTGCATTTCAATTCGAATGATTTTGTAAATAGTGGTGTTACTCTTTCAGAGTGCCAAGAATTGCCAATGCAAAGAGACAGTGAATTATGGGACATAAGGCAAACCGATTTCATTAGTGTGTGTTTTTCAGGTCCTTAATCATTTGCATAAAAACTTGAAGAACATGTCGAAGAAGTCAGAGGCATCTAAGAAAAAGGTAATATTCACAAATCTATATTATTTATGTCGCTGTTTACAGCTTTGTGTTTATTTTTATTTTAAAAAAATATTGTTTAAATATATTTTTATTGATTTTAGAAAGGAAAGGAGAGGGAGAGAGAGATAGAAACGTCAATGATGAGAGAGAATCATTGATCAACTGCCTCCTGCACACCCCCTACTGGGTATCGAGCCTGCAACCCAGCATGGGCCCTTGACCTGAATCAAACCCGGAACCCTTCAGTCCACAGGCTGATGCTCTATCCACTGAGCCAAACCAGCCAGGACTGTTTTTATTCTTCCTTATCCTCATATCCACTCAATGCCTGTGAAACTTCAGTTCCTAAGAACAGATGTTTGAAGGGAAGCTCTTACTGTTAGGTGTAGAGTGTAGACACAAGGTCAGATCTTGAGGGCCATGCAGGTAACTATTTTGCTGCATTAACATGTAGATAGAGGTTTGGGGTTCTGAGCCTCTGTAGGAGCTGTGTTCTAGCTTGATTGGGATTGAGTGTAGTGGAATTACCACATCCAAAATTTGCATGACCTATAGTCATTTTATTGTGTATTTCCCATCTCTGGCATGACCCCAGAAGGCCCTGGCTTGCCTGTCTTTGGAGGGAATCTGTCCCTTAAGCCCATGAGCAGATACTGTTGTTCTCTGTCCCTCCTAGACCTATGCTGATGTTGGCCCTGGGAGGAGACTTACAACTGGGAGGAGGCCCTGAGGGGGATTCTACCCATTTAAAAAAATTTTTTTTAATTGATTTCAGAGAGGAAGAGGCGGGGGGGAGAGAGAGAGAGAGATAGAAATATCAATGATGAGAGAGAAAAATCGTTGATTGGCTGCCTCCTGCACGCCCCCTATTGAGGATCAAGCCCACAACCCGGGCATGTGCCCTTGACAAGGAATTAAAGTGTGACCTTCTGGTTCATAGGTCATAGCCACCTCAGCCAGGTCCCATTTTTAATGACATTCTTATCAGGTGAGTCTTGTCTAAACTGAGTAATGATAACCTGTCTAACATCTGCTATTTTTGACATTTTACATTTTGAGGAAAAAGCTATTTTACAAATCAGGGTTAATTTAACTCTTACTCAGATAACATCTGTATACTGTCTAATTTTAGAAAATAGAATGAGATTATTAGACAGTATGATTAGGGGAGAGGAGATTATAAACAGACATTGCTATCCTTAAATATTAGACATAACATCTTAAAATACGTTGTTTTTCCTTCTAAATATTTATTGTGATGAATGACACGTAATTTGCAGAAATTATACTTTAATCATATTTATTTTTTAAACTCCGACCTAAGTAAAGCACAGCTCTTCTGGACTTTTCTTGTTGATAAGCGATGATGTAGGAAACATACATCTGTTCCCAAAGGTGATGGATAGAAATGCTAGACAATTGGTTTAAAAGCCACAATCCAGCTTGCATTTGAAATCCAACCAGATAATTTTTAGGAGAAGCAACTCACAGTGAAAGGCACAGCGTGGACGGCAGGCCTGTCTTAGTGCCCCTTCCAGTGTTTGTCCTTGTGTCCGGGCAGCCACCAGTCACACAGGCTTGTTCCAGCATGTGGACCCGTCTGCACAGCAGCTTAAACGTGTGGGGTGGTGTGGAGTGGGTGTTCCTGCCTGTGCTCAGTGAGGCCTTGTTATGCTGGAGGTATCCCAGTTTTTAATCTATCTCTTAGTTTCCCCTCTGAGCCACACTCCTCCTCTCCAAGAAAAGGATGCATTAAAAACCATTAAGGATTGTTAGACTTGCCCTTGGATGGTTATTTGCAGAGCTCCGCCCTGCACAGGACCAAGGGGCCATGGGCTCCGACCCTGCAGAGGGACAGGAATGAGCCTTGTCCACCTAAGGGCCCTGGGAGGGGGGGATGCTGGCTGAACTTCCAGGAGGTGATGCTGCTCATACATGATACAGAGTGTCACTGATGCACGAGATTTTGTGCTCAGCAACAGGAATGAAATCAAGCATTTCTCTAAGGTTAGCTGGATCTTATCGGCATGCAATGGTGATTTTAGTTCCTGTATTTGAAAAGTATTGGAGAAAAACTGTGAAAGTCCCAGAGAAGAACACAGTGGTTTAAAAGAATGAGAACAGGTCTTATAAGAAATGACAAGAAAAACTTCTGTTTTATTTTACAATAAAAAGGCCTAAAGATTAGTAACTAGTTTAATAGTTACTTTGTTCAATGTGTGTGTGTGTGTGTGTGTGTGTGTGTATAATGTGCACGTGTATATGTGTGTATGTGTGTGTATTATATATGTGTGTGTATGTAATTCTTATATTCTTATTAATGTGCACGTGTATATGTGTGTATGTGTGTGTATTATATATGTGTGTGTATGTGTGTGTGTGTGTGTGTATAATGTGCACGTGTATATGTGTGTATGTGTGTGTATTATATATGTGTGTGTATGTGTGTGTGTGTGTGTGTATAATGTGCACGTGTATATGTGTGTATGTGTGTGTATTATATATGTGTGTGTATGTAATTCTTATCCTAGGAGAGGGTTTCAGTATTTGGAGGAGGGAGGCAGAGTTTCTCTTCCATTCTCACAGCCTCTGACCCTTAATAGCCTTTGAACAGATGTCAGAAGATCTCTTTTGATATATTTAATTGCCTCCTTGTTTGCATAGAACAAATAAAGCATGGTACGTGCGTGTGTGTGTGTACGTGTCTAAGAAAGAGAGAGCAGAGAGGTGCAGGGGAGAGTAAGAAGAGGGTGGAGAGAGGAGGGAGAAGAGGGAGGTCTGGGGTGGACAGCCAGGCTCGATGGGAAGTTCCCAAAGGCAGGGAACAGATGGGCTCCCTGCCCCCGGGTCTCCGCACAGTGCCTGCTGGATGATGGCTCCATGGGGCTCGGATGGTGACAGCTCCTCACTTCAGCTTCACCTGTTCCCAGTTCCTGCTCTCTGTGGCTAAGTCCAGCTTCCTATCTCTGAGCTGTATCCATCTACACAGGGATCCCCCAAACAGCTGTCCTCCATGTTTGGGGGGAAATACAGAAGGAGGATGTAATTTTCACTGCAGGAATAATAGCAATGACAGCATAGAGCCCTGCGATGGAGCCAGCTAGACATAGGGGAATGCTTTCTGCCACAGGCCGGTCAGATACCAAGATGAGCTCTGGAATAGCCGTTGCAAGCCATCAGAATGGGACAGACATCATATGGGTTGGTCACGGCCAGGAGGAACCTGGAACAGGTGTCCTCTCGACACCATGTCAGCCACTGGGTTCTTTCACCGTCGCTTCCCCCTCTGGCTGGAATTATTTAACGAGCTCTTCGACTGTCATTTATACAATCACATCATGTTTTTCATCATTCTCATCTTTTAGCTACTTTTTGTTTCTGCCCAGCCTAGTTCCATTAGACATATTCTGAGCAAAATTCTTTGAAGAAAAAAACAGATGTCTACGATGACTTGAAAAAGAGCATCTCCCAGGAAGATGAGCGATGAATGTTTTTCAGATACTTTCAGCCTAAGGAGCAAAAAGAAACCAGACTAGCAAGGTCCCACCCCCAGTGGAGGAGTCAGTGTATAGGCTCAGGATAACCTGCAGATGGTGGCCCTGGGCTGGGATTCCACACTCTGCGTGGACTGCTGAGCACAGTGGTACATACACCAGGCTCAACTCTGTCTCTCATTCAGGCCGATGCTGTAGGAAATGAAGAAAAGCCCTGTAAGAAATTTTAAGAAATCATCCCCATTATCCCTAGAAGGGCATTCTTTCCCAACAGCCTGACATTTCAAAGGGAAAGAGAGGAAGCAGCTTTTCCAAGTCTTTCTGGGGAGAATACAGTGTGTGTGTGTGTGTGTGTGTGTGTGTGTGTGTGTGTGTGTGTAGAATCAGGGGTGGTGAACATTGAGGAAACAACTTCACCTTTAACTGGAAGTGGGCAAGAAGATTTGCTTTTGTTGTGGTCTTTATCAGTGGTTCTTCAAACACCTGAGATGTTTAGAAACTTCCTGAGCCATGGGGTTGAGGCCCAGATGTAGGAGCCATGCCCTGGCAGGGAAGAGCGTGTCCATCTTTCTCTGCCCCAGCTTGGCGGTTGGTACAGCATTGTTCTGACCAGATCGTTCACATCCAGCCAGCATGGGAAGCAGTAGTGAGTGAAGGATGGTGTTCTGCCCGCATGTGGGGGCTTCTTCCTATACTCATATCCCCCCTTCTCCCCGCTCCCCCGCCCAGCTTCTCAGACCCTTGGGCTTGGAGGGCTAGGACCCTCTGTGCAAGGGAGACAGGAGACAACCATGTGCTATGTCCAAGGGCCCACAAAGATGAACCATGTGTTGTGTCCAAGGGCCCACAAAGATGAACCATGTGCTGTGTCCAAGGGCCCACATGGATGAACAACATGCTGTGTCCAAGGGTGCACACGTGCATTTGCTGGAGTTAACATCGCTGGGCTGACCTGGAGTCGCCTGGGAACTGCCAGGATACTGTCTGTGCCCCGGCCAACACAACTTCACCTCTGATGGGCTGAGATGCTTGTGAGACGGGGAACATAGAGAAGCCCTGCGATGCTTAGTGGGGAGCAGTCTAGTTAACTCTTTTGGGAACAGCCTTAGACAAATGACACAGTCTATGAAAGTGCCCACTAAGTGTTCTTTCCTGATATTATATTGCAAATTGTAACCCAGTCTCATTTGAAGGCTACAGGTTGATCTCGTAGTTCTGAACAGATCAGGGATTACGAATAGTAAAAAGGTAAATTTTGAATGACCAAATGCACAGTGAGAGGCACTGCATTTCCTGGTGGGTCCTCCAACACTAGTTGCTAATCCATGAGCTGCTGGCTCTCCTCCTGCCCTAAACTTGGTACTTGGCAGACACTCCCTAACAGAAGCCAGAGGCGAGATCCAGAGGGCATCTGTTCTGTGAAGTAGAGATGCTCTTGTTTTCTTAGGAAGAAAGGTGATGTTTTCCATTTGCAGGTGGAAGGACCTCTAGGTGGTTTTGACTCAGTGATCTGGGAACCAGTGTCTTCTGCACTGAGGGAGAAATGGATGGAGAGCAGATGGTCCCCTAATGCACCCGAGCCTATCACTTGTTTGCTTTGTGCCTTCTGCAGTGACATCTAATCCTGCCACCTGTGAAAACCTGTGGTCAGGTGACTCTGAGGCACAGATGAGGAAGTCCAGGCCCAGGGGATTTATGTCATGTTTCAGGTCCCACAGCCAGGTTATGCCTGATCAGTCAGGGCTTCTGCACAATCCATGGCCCTTTGATAGTGAGCTTAACTCTCGTCTCCTGCCCTCTGACCCCTGCTCTTGTCCTGGCTTTGACCTGAACTCTGATGGTCGCCTCTACCACCTCTGCCCCAGTCTGCTTACAAAGTCGGTGTCTTCCCTGCTGCATTCTGGGTGTTGTTTCCTAGAATAGTGAGATTCTAACGCATGACAAGTAATAGAAGAGTCATTTTGTCACGTGGGAATGTCCCCACAGTGCAGAGATGTGGGGTCCCCCTTTCCCACACGGAGGAATTTGTGGTGTAACCGTGATTCCTTGGTCATGAAATCACTTTCTTGGGTCTCATTCTTTCTCCCGTGTGGGGATATTTGACAAATAAAGCTCCATATGTTGTCCTCACCTTCTTCCTTCTCTCTGTCTGGTTTCCTCTCCACTTTCTTTCCCACATTCATCAGTTTTTGTCACAATTATTCCTGTATAGGAGAGGAGGTGGACAGGTGGCCGGCAGGTAAATCTTCCACCCACTCTCGTGTCCTCACTGGGAGATGGAAATGTGTCCCCTACGCCTTCCTGGTCTGAGATGTGTGGGGAGGCCAGTGGTCCAATGTTCCTAGTCCCTCCCACAAACTGAATCACACTCTTAAACTATTTCAACCTGGACTAAACCTGAGAAAAAAGAGAGGCCACTTTCAGGCAAGGGGCTGAAAGTATGCACCTCTCGTGTCCTTAGCCTTTCTCCGCATGAGGAGGAGACTCCCTGGTGACAAGAACTGGGGGATGTCCCGGGATGGTCAGTGAGGGGACCGATGGCTGCTGTCTCCTGTGAGTGTTTTTATTGCCCACATCACCACCAACAGGCAGGCGGGTGGGAGGCGGTTGATGGTGACTAGGAGTTCGGAGCAGTTCCTGCCTGTGTCTCAGACATTCAGGGCATGGCTTTGGGGTCACTGGGACCTGGCTTCTAGCTCTCACTTTGCATGTAGCCATGGGACACCAGGCACTTGTCTTCACCATTCTGAGTCTCAGTTCTTTCATTGACAGCTGGTGATCACTGTGGGGTCTGCTCCCTGGGGGAGCAGGGGGCAGATGGGGAGTGACCTCAGCGGGTCACACAGTCCTCAGTGCTGTCCTCGCGGCCCTGTTTCTGCTGTCGCCATTAGACGGCGAGGCCTTGCTGCTTCCCGAGCTTCACTCGGTGGAGGAGGCCACCCTTGAAGGAAGGAACCAGCTGATTGCTTTGCATTTTATAGTTTAAAAAATATCAGTAGATCACCATGTCTGACTGAATCCTAGAGATGGAGTGTCAGCTTAACACAGCAGCTCCGTAGTTGTTGCCTTTCAGCATGTCTGAACCAGTGGGGCGGAATCACAGGGCTAGTGGCCCAGGGCTTGACCCCTGGGTTTGCAGCCCTGGAGGAGGTGATGTGAGTGTCTCCAATGCAGTGTGCAGAGGGAGGCAGGAGGGGACGGAGGGCAGGCAGGGAGGCTCGGCCCTGCTGAGGTCCTATGGGGAAGACCTCCCATCCCTGCTCCGTAGACACCCCCTCACTCACACACAGGGACCCTGCCTCTGGGTGTTGCTGGGTTAGGCGCACAGGAAGGGTTACAGTGTCAGCAAGTGGGCTCATTGCTCTGCAGACTGAAACCCACACGGTCTCTGGAACCTACTCGTGTCCTTAACTTGCCAAAGTTTGAGGAGGAGAACTAAACATCTGCATCTCTGTGGAGACCACTGCTCGGGGCAGGCTCCACGGCTCATCTGAGCTGCCTCGCAGCTCAGTGCTGAAGGTTTTGAAGGGACCATGTTGAATCTCTAGACCGTTCTATTCCTATGACCTAAGCACCAGTCCCATCCTCCACACGCACTTCACACACATGGCTAAGTTATTTCTGTGCCAGGTCATGCCGGGTCCTGGAGAAGTTTGAACAAAACCAGTCTGTGACCTGAAGGTCAGTGCTTAGCACAGATTTAGTACCTATTGGATCCCATGGGAAGAGTCATGAAATTATCTTAGGATGTGTTTGCAATGCTTGGTTCTTTCCTGTTGGGACTAATGTGTCTCCCCGCCCCCCCCCACTTCTTGCCCCCAGACAGCACAGACAGTCTTGGTGGTGGTTGTGGTCTTCGGGATCTCCTGGCTGCCGCACCACGTCATCCACCTGTGGGTCGAGTTTGGGGTCTTCCCGCTGACGCCCGCCTCCTTCCTCTTCCGCATCGCGGCGCACTGCCTGGCCTACAGCAACTCCTCCATGAACCCCATCATCTACGCCTTCCTCTCCGAGAACTTCAGGAAGGCCTACAAGCAGGTGTTCAAGTGCCGGGTGCGCAGCGAGTCCTCCCTCAGCGACACCAAAGAAAACAGAAGTCGATTGGACACCCCACCATCCACCAACTGCACGCACGTGTGAAGAAAGGTGCGTGTGGGCCTCACGTGGTGTTTTTCCCATGTGGACCAGGCACGTAAAAACACAAGGGGGTGGGGGAGGTTTAGGAAGGCTGTACCTGTTACCTTAACAACAATTCACATTGTTTTGGTTAAATTCCTTAAAAAGTACTTTGATTCATTTAGGAAATCCCTAGGTCTAGAGGAAATTATTTCCAAATTTTATTTTATTTAAAAATTCTATTTCTAAAAAGGAAAAGAAAATGCTGCCTTGTTTTAAATCTCTTAAGACATGAAAGTTTAATAGAATTCCATAGATATGTTCAATTCTTTTTTTTTTAAATATTTTATTGATTTTTTACAGAGAGGAAGAGAGAGGGATAAAGAGTTAGAAACATCGACCAGCTGCCTCCTGCACATCTCCTACTGGGGGTGTGCCCGCAACCAACGTACATGCCCTTGACCGGAATCGAACCCGGGACCTTTCAGTCCGCAGGCCGACGCTCTATCCACTGAGCCAAACCAGTTTCGGCAAATTCTTTATAGAATAAGGAATAAACCTTTAAGTATGGTCAGGAATATTTATGATCTATATTTTGAAGCAGAATTATTTAGAAAAAAAATTATGCTTTAGTTAAACTTGAGTTTTAAGAAAAGGGGTAACATTATAAGTTATGATCACGGACAGTGAGAATGTTCACTGACTTTATTTTTGTGGCCATTTATATAGAGGGGCTCAGACTTTGTCCAGTGCATTTGCACAGGTCACCTTTGCTGCTGGTTGTGAGCAGCGTACAGAATTCAGACAGTGTGCTGCCTCTAGCTGTGACCACGAGGTCCTTTGAGTCGGTCTCAGGAGCTCAGAGGGGTGTTTCAGCAGCCACTCTCGGGTGTGAGCTATTGGCCCTGTCACATGAAACCTATCCTGTGAACCTGGGCTTTGTAGAGTTGACTGAAAAAATAAAATTCAGGGAAAAGTGCCAAGTACAACTATGCTAACAGTGGAGGCTGTGAATGAGTTTTTGACAATGAAACTGGGCATTAAAATTGTACATATACTTGGCCAAGGCCTTAGCTATGCCTTAAATGGAACCGATTCAAAAGAGAGAATTAAAGAAATGTCAGCGAGCATGATGTGTAGGTAATAATTTCTAGGGGCCGAAGAGCAGTCAGAATTCAATGTGTCACAGGAGGGGGTGGGCAGGCTGTGTGGGGACAGTGTGCTGAGTGCTCGGCTCAGGTAACATTGGAAGAAAACACTAGGGATATATACCTAGGGATATCCTTTCTAGTATAAACAAGTGCTTTTTTATTGAATTGTAATGATGTTTTTGCACAATTACCCCACATATTACTCCCTCTGGAAATGTTAATTTGGCGTTGAAATCATCACCACTCAAGTTTCAAATGTAGTTTTCATGACAATGTCATATCTACTTATGTTTACAATGAGGCAATGGTATAAAAAGATCAAGCTATCCTATATTAGGAGATACCTTTCTGAATGCAAGACTTTGATATATTTTAGGAGGAGACAAAAGCATGAAGATGAAAAAAAAAAGGTTTTGTGTAAGGTACACCTGTGTCAAATCAGGACTCCATGTAAAATATCACATTTTAGGGCCAAAAACAGACTCAGTGTAAGTCTTTGCATGCTGACTTCTCTAGCTCACAACTGATGTTCACGAGTTACATTCCTCCAGCTCACAGTGCTTACATTTGTGATGTCTCTGGACAGATGCGGAGAAAATCCTTAGAGAAGATGGGACTGTGAGCCTCATGCTTGCTGGCCAGGGAGAGAAGTGGTGTGTATGCGTACGTGAGTATTTTAAAGAACAATGTAAGTCCTGTGCGTGGAAATCTTTTTGCACTTTATTCAAGTATAGCGGCAGAAACGTTGTATCCCGACGATGATACCTCATGTGTTTGTGGAGCTTGACGTTGCAAATACCAGACCCGCTTCCGTGCACACAGCGCTGCTGGCGGCCTCGGGACGGCGTGGACGGCAGCAGCTTCCTGTGCCCTGGCTGTCTGTCCCCTTGTTTCCTCTTCTGATTCCCACGCACCCATGGAAGTATTTTAAAAAATGCTTCTGTTTCTAAGACACAGTGAACATGCTTCAGCACAATGCACTGACCCACGCCATGCCTTCTTCAGTCCCTCCCATTGGTGTCACGAAAGCGAAAGGCTCAGCACCGGAGTCATAACCGGCCTGCGAACCCCCAGTTTGCTGAGTGATAATGCAAGTCACTTCGTTTTGTAGTTAGGATATCCTTCCTGCCCGCCGCCGTTTTAGACCATGCATCTCATTCAGCGTTTAGGTTGTTTACTTGATCCTGATGAAAACTTACGTCCTGCAAAGATCTAAACCTACGCTTTCCAGAGAACTTGTCACAGACTCCTCTTCCCAAGGAGCATCCGAGGCGTGCGTGCCTTTCCTGGGCAGCTGCCTTCCTAATGCCCAAGGCGGTGACCATGGCCGTTCAGAAGCACCCTGTTTTCCTCAGAAAGGACAGAAGGCACCCAACACGCTTTTCCTTCCAGCCGCCAGGCTCAGGGAGAAACTGCGTGTGCCTCTGACGTCCGCTGCTTGAAAACCTGGCTTTTCAGTGAACTTCAAATAAAACCGATGGTTCCTCCTTAGATTTGGCTGCCTCGGTGCCCAGGCAGCGGTTACTTTTCAGGGCATGTTGCTTCCACGCAGGGAGACAGGCTCTGGGATATTCAAGCACTTGCTGTTTCATGACTAAGCCCCAGTTTCCGTTTGCCACCGATGAATACAGGGACAAGGCCGGGAAGGCTCTCTGGTCCTGTGCTCCCAGAAGGCACCTTAAAGAGATCCTCTCTCTCCTATTCTGACCTTGCATGTGCTCAGCAATGTGGGTGGAGGCCGTTTCCGGCACATTTTAGGTAAATATGTTTGCGGTTAACAAAATTGTACTGCACATGTTAGGAGTAAAGCACCATTTTCCTCGTCTACTTCCCAACTCTGTGCTTCGGTGGCAACTTGCTTCTACCTGGACCTCCTCACTCGATGCTCACCACAGGAAAATTCCTGTTCGGCCTCAGCTGGGATGAGTTACAGCTGAGAGGAGGGCTGACAGCTGACCTGCATGAGTCACGCAGGCGAAGGCTTCGTGTGACTCAGCTTTACACTGTGATCTCACGGATGATTGCATTTGCCTGGCTTCTTGGATGCTTTGAGACAAGGCAGTGATAATTCTGATGGGTTAATTGAACCCCCAAGGCCAGGCTTCTTCTGAGCAGGACAAGACAATTTATCTAAGCATCCGTTTCCTTCCCTCAAGTTCTGAAACGCTGGTGTTGTGGCAGCTTACGCCCAGAAAGTAACGTATTGTTAGCTTCATCACGCTCTTGCTTGAAGGGATTTATTAAATGCACATACATAAACCACAGTCATGCAAATTGGGTAAATACATCAATGTCTACTTCCTCTGGAAACATCTAAATTTTGTAAATTTTGCTCTATGCTGGTTGAGAATATCCCCCAGGCTTTACATTTGTGAGTAGCTTATATTTCTCTTGGCCATTAAAAAAGTGTTGGGTGTTAGGTTATTTGTCAAGTAGATGTTAGTGACTTTGTTTAATGACTTGTTTGTTTTAACAACAAGTGATTTCTGGGGAATGAGGTGTGGGTGGAGGTGGAAGAAGTCATAGAGGGAATAAATGGTGATGGAAACTGTGCATGTTGTAAAAAGGGGACGGACATCAGGACATTTCCCAATTCTGTTGGGAAGTTGCTTATGGAAACACTGCCTTGAGTATTCTTACATGTAAAAGAGGGATTCAGAGAGGGTGCATGAGCCTCAACACCGACAGCACCTGTGAATGAACTGGGGAGTAAGAGGAGGCACAGGTGCTCTGCCCTCACCTGAGAGCATGGTTCTCACACTTGCTAAGCAGGGCATCACCCGAGGAGCCAGTTACAGCACAGATTGCCGGGCCTCACTTTCACAGGTTCTGACTCAGGAAGTTTGATGTGCCCTCCTACCCATCTGCATTTTTAACAAGCTCTTTGCTGATGCAGATGCTGCTGGTCAGGGGACCACAGGTTGAGAATTGCTACCTGATTTACTTGGTTTGGAGTTGGAGCTCAGGCATGTTTTTAAAAGGTCTCCAGGTGCACAACCTGAGTTCACAACCACTCATGTAGAGATGGCCCTTTACAACTCCAAACCACTATGATTTGGTGAAAAAAATTGGCTGATGGAGAGCCCAATCATTCAAATTTTTATGGTTTACATTGATCAGATTTATAAAATATCTGTTCAGCTCTTATAATACCCAGCTACATAAATTTAAGAGTTTTCAAAGAGTGTGAAGAAGTTTGATAATTTACATTTAAGGATTTCAGTGATAATCATAATTTTTTCCTTAAAAATATAGCTTGGTGGACAAGAGCACCTATACATTCACTTCATTCCTACCAAAATGTAGAAAGGTAAAGAGAGTATTCAAAACTGTTACATGTCAATTTTTGAACTCAATGTTTAAATAAATGCGTGCATATCTTTCTGTGTGGCTGCTAATTTTTAACTGCATTATTATCTCTAAGAGATAAATGTAACTTAATTTGTGTTTATAGGTTTTCAATTAAAGATCTTCTGATAATGTAGTAGTATAGATAGGAAGAAAATCTATGTATTTTATGTTTTCATTTTTTTCAAGTGATTGCTTAAATACTGCTGTATAAATAACACTGAGCATGAATCTTTTTACTCTAGATGCTGTTACAACCATTCTCTCAGATTTATCTCTCTAAAATTTGTCTCATTATCTATAAATTTGGCATGGATGTCATGTATAAACTTAGTGTCAATACAAGTAAACTTGCAAAGCCAAAAGCCAAAAGTTAAGAAGTTATATAAATCCATGTAGTAACAATTGCAGTCCTTCTAAATCACCCTACCTCTGAGTGCTGCATGAAATCTAGCTGGAATTTGTGACTTGGACCAATTTTCTTGAATTGAAAATAAAATGTGTTGCTCAAAGTGTTCTTATTTATGAGTATGCTATTTTCAAACAAGGCGTAATTGCACCATTTTATAAAGCACTTCCCAAATTATAGGAACATAATACAAGGTTGTTGAGTTAAATTAGTTTGACTCTTCTTGGGAGCCATTATAGAAAATATGGGTGAATCATGGTGGTGGGAACTTGACACCTATACTTGAAAAATGTTATTCTCTTCCCCTTCCCCTTCTTCTTCCTCTTCTTTTCCACTTTCGCTGTTGTTATTTTTAAATACATGCCTATTTTTTTGTAAAAATGACAAAGTTACTATAAGAAATTATAAAAACAGAAAGTAAACATTCGCCCAAAATTTTATTATTAAGAAATAGCCATTAGCAACATCTTCTGAATATCATTCAGGGTATCTCCCCAATGGACATAAATAGTCACAAAGGGTAAGAAGAAGGGATGGAGGGAGGGAGAAGACATTTTAGAAATATTGGATCATAATGTGCCAATTATTTATAAATAAAATTATTAACTTTAATTTCACTTGAATTTGATTGGCAAAAAATAAAATGGAGTGAAATAGAAAGAATTACTAAATTTTGAAGAGTTGATCATCATGAGTTAAAAACAAAAATTATGCAAGTTTGGAGGGAATTAGAGTCATTATGATTAAACCAATAAACACATTTCAGCTTTAGACTGTTCTCATGGAAAACTCTTTCAGAAATCTTAATTCTATATTTAAACTTATGCATTGCTTACCAATAGGTTGTTTTTACATTCTTTCTTTTATGAGCTCTTTATTTGGACTCATCTGACCAAATAATATTTTATTCCCCCAAAGGTCTCAAAGGCATAATACTCCTGAGTTATTTATTGCATGTTTGAGAAGATTCATTTGCTGCCTTGATTCCTGAAAAACAATGTCAAATATTAAATCATTTTATTGCACTTTGTTTTCATTATAAGTTTTTAGACCCTGCTCAGAATTTTGAATGTTACTGGGAAGATGTCTGAAGGTACACTGATTGTCCCCATTTTAGTTAGCTAGTATTTTTTTTCTTTCCCAAATGCCCACTTGCTTTTTAAAATCATCGATGTCTGGCTTTTTCATCAGGATGTGTCGTTCCATCACCCTCTAATGCCTGAGCATTGTTCATGAATTGAACTATGATTTCATAAAAGTAAAAGAGATATTCATGATTATCTAGCCCAGCAATGTCCAACCTTTTGTAGTGTAAGGATTATTTTTAAAAACACAAATAATTACCAGAATTTCATATAAGAGTAATTGTAATTTTAGTATACATTAATATAGAACATGTAATATAAAAAAAAGAAAACTACCAACCAACATCTCTTATGAACATAGACACGAAAAACCTCAATAAAATATTGGTGATTAACATCCAGCAATGCTTAAAAAGAATTATACACCATGACCAGTAAGGTTTATTCCAGAAATGTAATTTTTCAGCATGAAAAAATTAATCAATGTAATCCACCATAATAACTGGCTAGTAAGAAAAATCATAGGATTATAATTGACATAGAAGAAGCATTTGGCAAAATCTAACACCTATTTATGATTAAAAAACCCTCAGAAAATTAGAAATAGGGGGGAACTTTCTCAACTTGATAAGTAGCATCTACAAGAAGCCCTACAGTTGACATCACACTTAATAGTGAAAGACTGAATGCCTCCTCCTTAGATCAGAAGAAGACAAGGATATCTGCTCTTATTCAATATAGGTATGTAGCATTGCAATAAAGCAAGAAAAAGAAATAAAAGGCATAAGATCAGAAAGGAAAAATTGTATTTGTAAGTGATACGATTGTCTACATAGAAAATCCTAAAGAATCTACCAAAAAAACTCCTGGAACTAAGTGATTTCAGTAAGGTTACAGGATACAAGATCAACACACAAAATACAAAATGAAAAAAGACAACAGTGAATTAGTGATACATTGAAGTGGTTTAAGTTTTATTAACCACAGCACAGTCTACATGCTTTAAGGCTAGAAATACACAGATATATA